TCACAAAAACAAATGCCAGAAATACAAATGAAACCAACATGTACTGAAAAATGTAAACTAAAATGTTATAACAAGTTTAGTGAGGAGAAGAGGCAACTTACTTTTATGAATTTTTTGAGAATGGGAGATTTAGATAAGCAGCGTCAATTTATCAATAAACATGCAACTGCAATTAAACCGAATTACAGATATATTCGCGAAGGAAGTACAAGAAAATATTATAACCATGCATTTAATTTTGAAGTTGACAGATAATTCAAGTTTGTAAAACTTTTTTAAAATACTCTGGGTATATCCGACAGACCAATAAGAACAGTAATTTCAATGCAAAACTCTATAGTTGGGGGTTTTCTGAAAGATGACAAAAGAGGGAAGCATGGTAAACACAATAAGATTGATACTGCAATTATTGATGGGATTAAAGAACATATCAATTCTATACCTAGAATTCAAAGTCATTACTGTCGAGCTAGTACGAGCCGGGAATACATTGAAGGAGGTCTCTCTATTGCACAATTACATAGAGACTATGCTACAAAATGTCATGTACAGAAAATGTTACTCATGTTGATTATCATATATGTATATTACAATATATTTACCCAAAGAGTTCAATATTTCATTTTGGTCTCCAAAAAATGATCAATGTGAGGATTGCGCAGCTTATAATAATGCAGAAGATAAAGAGCCGTTAAAAACCAAATACGATTATCATCTAGAAGAAAAAGATTTAGTAAGAAAAGAAAAAGAGTTGGATAAAGAAAATACCAAAGGAAAATGCATAACTGCTGTCTATGATTTGCAAGCCGTAATGCTGTGTCCAAGAGGTGATGTTTCCAATTTTTATTATATTTCAAAACTTAATGTTCTGAACTTTACTATTTACGAACTTGGATCCAAAGACGTAAACTGTTACGTTTGGCATGAAGGTGAAGGTGGGAGAGGAGTCAATGGAATAGGATCCTGCGTTTTAAATTATTTAAGAAGCCTACAAGAAAATATTAAGGATGATTTTGAAGCTATATCTTATAGCGACAACTGTTGTGGACAACAAAAAAATAAGTGTATGATTGCAATGTATATTTACGCAGTCACATATTTAGAAAATTTAATGGCTATTACCCACAAATTTCTAATAAAGGGCCACTCACAGAATGAGAGAGATTCCGCACATGATAGAGGTAATATTTTGAAATCTGCACCTATTTACGTCCCGGAACAATACATAACTTTGATTAGAACGGCTAGAAAAAAAAGGAAATTCATACAGAGTCCATGAACTAAATCATGAAAGTTTCTTTGACATTAAAAAACTCGCAGACGGTGTTGGATCAAATTAGTCAATCAATGAAGATAGAGAAAAGGTAAAAATGGGGGATATTAAAGTTATTAGAGTGGAAAAAATTCATAATGATCGGTTCTTTTATAAGAGTTCTTATAAAGAAGACAGCTTCAAAACTGTACTGGTCAAAACTAGAACTAGCAAGATAAAAAAAAATTGAGTTCAGAATTACAACTGTATTAACAAAATTACCTGTAATGAAACAGTAAGAAAGCAAGTATACTTACACTTATAGAAAAAATATAATACCTAGATTTTATAAAAACTTCTATGAAAATCTGTGACTTTCATAGAAGTTTTCATAGAAGTTTTTTTGATATTTTTCTATTTTACCTCTTATTGTAATTTTTCTAGAAGAGTTTTGATTTTTAGACCACTTTTAATTGAGAAGAGATGTTTTAATTTAATGTTTTAATTCTATATTCATTGGTAGTATTTTTTTTGTATTTTAATTGTATCTAAAAATCAAATAGTACCTCTATTTTATTTTTAGATACAACTTTTAATTAATAGAAGACTAATATTTTTGTTTTAAACAGTTTACTGAAACAAATATTTTATTTCTATTTACATATTTATTTTAGGTTTAAATAAAAAAATAGCGTTAATTTTAAGATAGGGGTTTGTTAAAGAATCTTATTTCATTACAAGTAATTTTAAGTGGATTTGCATCCTATAAAAATCTCAAATTGTAAAAGAAATTTACTTAATAAAACTATTTTTCCATTATGAAGTTATTTTTTTCGAAAATCCGTGCTTGTAATATTTATTTTTTTTATGTAGAAAAAAGACATTTCTTGCTAAAATTGATTCTATTTCAAAAATAAATAAATAATACAACACCTAAATCCCCATGTAAATACCTTTTAAATGATATAATGACACTTATATATAAATGTAACACTTTTAAAGAAAAAGTAATTTTAATGAAATTAAAAACTTCAAATGCTTGCTACTGCTACTGTAAAATTTGTAGTTTTTGAATTTTTTCTATTTAACCGACGATGATAAGGCTTGACCAAATCGATGAATAAACATTGTTTGAAGAAATTGAGAATTAAACCCAACATTGCTTTTACATAATATTCCAATTATATCGTAAAATAGTTTCACTGCTCACCGCTAGCGGCGCTTATAGCGCTTTTTTTAACAGAGACAGAATTTTTAACAGAATCGACATAGCTCTACGTCTCATTGCGAACATTTAAATAATATACCTATATAAATGTTCGCGGCTTTGAGGTAGCTAAAGGATCACCCCAGCCGTATATTAATCTACTATCGCTGATATTAGATGGTGCTTTCGTATGGTATTGTTGCGTGCCTAAGTTGACGTCTGGCACTAGCGCCATCTGTGTCGGGTAACAGAGCGAGGAGAGCTTTCCAGAAAATGACATCACTAATCTTTCAACCGACAGCGCCATCTAGTATCGAAATGAAGAACTAAGCTTTCTAGAAGCCCGACACTCGAACTTTCGGCGCCTGGTCGATTGGCGCGCGTGTTTACTTGAATATTCTGGATGTTTAGTTGATAATGTGTTTTAAAAGCGCTGCAAGATGCGATCGAGGCAGTATTAAATTTGGCGAGACAAGCGAAGCTTCGGAGCGAAATAAAGTGAATCAGTGTGGTTAATTATTAGTGTTTTAAGTTTTAATTAGTGTAAAGTGAATTAAAGTGTAAATTTTGGTAATTCAATCGACAGTTTTTATTGTTACGAACCTCAAGCTCGTAACAGAATTATTTCGAAACGAGAATTGACTTCGTAGATTTAATTGTATATTGAGGATAATTTTGACAAACGTTGACATAATTATACGATTCACCCCTATTTCTCACGGGTGATTCCTGGATATCGGTTGCAGTGCCACCTACCGGATATAAAATCTAAACCAACTTATAAATCTTAACCATACAAGGACCCACTTGAATACACACAAAAAATTTCATCAAAATCGGTGAGTTTTAGCGAGACTATCAGAAATTAATTGGTTTTTATATTTATGGATTACTTTAGTGTGCATGTATTATATATATATATATATATATATATATATATATATATATATATATATATATATATATATATATATATATAAACCTTCCTCTTAAATGATTCTGTCTATTGAAGGAAACCTCATCAAAATTCGTTGCGTAGTTCAAAAGATGTAAGCGTACAAACGGTGGAAAGCGACTTTGTTGTATACTATGGAGAGATGGTCAGTAATAATAGGCTATCATGAAATGATTGCGATATTTGAAGTGGTCCAGCACTTCATGATAATATGATCAATTCTACGATCTGGCCACATTTATATAACTTGAGAGTTTTCGATTTCATAGTTTTAATCTAAAAATAGCGTCATCTATTTTATATTTACTGCTATTGAACTCATAATAACTAACTGATAACATTAAATGTAATGCTACTGAATACCTATTCTTGCAGGATCAAAAACTTAAAATATCCAGCCATTATCGGGATGATTTACCGTAATTGACATTGATATTTTATATATAGATTGACTGTGTATACAAAACCGTGATTAAAAGAGAAACTTTTTAGTAGTTGGGTGTATATCGGTATAGCAATAATTTCACTAACTTCCTTTGGTATTAAGTTATCCAATGTAAGTTTTTGTCTCTATTTGATGGATTAGTAAAAATATAAGCAATTATTTTATAGTGCCAATCAATATTCAATAGGCCAATGATTATATCATTAACAAATATTGCAAATAAAGAGTCTGCCGTACTTTAATGGAAGACAACGAAGTTCGACATTATTTGGTCAAAATTAAATTACCTTTTATGAATAAATGCAAAGAGTAAAAAGTAAATAATGTAACTTTGAATTAAAGATAATTACCCTTATTATATATACCTCGGAAGTCATGACCGATATAAAAAGTGACTGGGGTTGCTAGACGTAAGATGCAATTCTAAAAAATCTACGTCTAATAATCTTTAAGAATTTAAAAGATATCACTTGACTAACTAACGTGACAACTAGGCGTCTCTACAAGGTGTCCAACTTTGTGGATTTTGGTATGGAGCAGTATAACCCACTTTCTCCTACTGTGTCTTAAACGACACATCCACAAAGAAAAATAAAAAATATGTGTGGGTAGTTTTTAATTTTTTCTTCTACGTCGATTGGTGCTTGAGAAACTGCTCTTTAAATGTGCATTAGTGGGTGCGTTTGGCAGAAAAAAGCGCTAGCAAGCGCTTACAAGCGCTAAAATAGTTTTCGGCCAGGACACGATTGCTACTTCAGTAGCGCTGACACAATCCGCCATTTTGCTTATTTAATTTGTTTGTTTTGAAGTAGAGTTTATAAGTTGTTTTGTGCAATATTAGTTTTAAGTAACATAATGACATGATAAACATATACATGTTATTAAAAATTCATGATTGGTAAGTTTTTAATATGAATACTTTACAAACATATATTTAAATTAGGTTAGATTCCCCGGTTAAAACTAACATCGTGTCCTGGAGGAAAATAGCTACTTACGATTTGACAGCGCTTACCGCTTACGATCGCCATTTTGCTTACAAGCGCTTGCTAGCGCTTTTTTCTGCCAAACGCACCCAGTGATTGTGAGCTACACTTCTTAATTATTGTGGAAAATAACTTGAAATATTCAGGATATTGCAATGGCTAATTCAAGGTAAGTGTATATATTTTTTATATAGCATATCACAAATGTATTTGCATATAAGTATATCATATTTGATCCCGTAGGTTACTCAATGTAAAACAATTGAAATAATTTTAGGTTATTTTATTTGTAATTTTTTCAAATCATTTTCATTTTCCGTAAAAGACACAGTAGGAAAATGAACCACTATTATTGAGGTCACTTGTCTTAATTACAGGAAGTTTAATTGATAGAATCAGGCGTTACTTTGCGGAAATCCATTATAATAAAAAATAAAAATATAAATTTCTTTGCAACTTTCCGCTAAACATATAAAATGATGTGTCTTACCTGGATTGAAGCGCACCTCCCGCCCTCCCTCAATTGCATACACTCGTCTAAACTATTCGTCGATGGTGTGTCTTGCCTGGAATAGTGGTATTGAGAGTAGTGGTGCTTGGTCTAGTGGTGACGGAGTTAGTGTATGCAATTGAGGGAGGGCGGGAGGTGCGCTTCAATCCAGGTAAGACACATCATTTTATATGTTTAGCGGAAAGTTGCAAAGAAATTTATATTTTTATTTTTTATTGCAGGAAGTTTGGAAAGCAACTTTCTCTTAATGAGATTATTGAGGAATTGGCGCAAAATGATGATGACATCCCAGAATCTATTACAATAATGCCACCGAAAAATTGTAATGCTGAGGTAACGGATGAAGACTCTGGAGATGAAGACTTGGTGTCACTTCAAAACTTGCCGGGATCTCAACTAAGGCCTGCTGCTGAGGTCCAGTATGGCAACAGCTGTGATGATTTGGAGAGTGATGATGATCTATCATTAGCCGAAGTAAACAAAAGGTGACGTCTAAATTTTGAAAATGAATGTGCTTCCACATCCCAAGCCTCGCTTCTTCAAGGACAAATAGATGATCCGGTTTCACCTGCTGTACCAGTACCTTCTACTTCAACAAATGCTCCAACTATGATCAACTTCAAAAATACTAAATATACTTGGAGTTCAACAGATATTCAGCCTACGCACAGTGATTGGCATAACCCACAGCGTCCTGACCAGTATGGTCAGGACGCTGTGGTGGTGGTGTGGTGCAATAAAAATCCCATTGATTACTTTGATTGCATGTTTGACGACGTGGTTTTGAATATTCTTGTGGAATTTACTAACTTATATGCTATAAAGAACAATAAAGAAGGTAACGTGACAGCAACGGAGATGAAATATTTTTTGGGATTACTGTTGTATAGTGGATACGTGGTTATTCCTAGACGAAGTATGTACTGGGAAAATGCTCCAGACTGCAGTGTACCATTTGTCTCATCAGCTATGGCAAGGAATAGGTTTAATTTTATAGTATCCCATTTACATTGTTTCAACAATTCGCAACTCAATGAGAGAGACAAATTTGCGATGTTAAAACCTCTCTTTGATGTGCTAAACTCGAATTTTTTGAAGCATGCTCCTTTACAAGAGTGTCACAGTATCGACGAAGCTATGGTCCCATATTACGGTGTGCATCCATGTAAACAGTTTATAAGAGGCAAACCCATTAGATGGGGTTATAAGTTCTGGGTTGGAGCAACGCGTCTGGGCTACGTTTTATGGTTTCAACCGTATCAAGGACAATAAGGATGCACCGATACAAAATACAAAAGTCTCGGTTTGGGTGCCAGTGTTGTATTGGAGTATGCTGATGAGCTTCGTAAGATAAATGCAGAAGCTCCATTCCATCTGTTCTTCGACAACTTTTTTACATCTGTCCCACTTATAGATGAACTTCGGACGCACGCGGTGAAAGCTACAGGCACCGTAAGAGAGAATAGAGTGTCAAAATTGCCCATTGCCCAATAACAATGAACTCAAAAAAACTAACCGTGGGACGTACAAATACAAATCTACAAGAGCTGAAGAAATTGACGTCTGTAAGTAGAATGATAATAGTATAATTACCGTGGATTCCAATGCTATAAAAGTATTACCCGTCAACAAAGTCAAAAGATTTTCTCAGCAACAAAAAAAATATGTGTAAGTGGATCAACCTGCAGTTGTGAAGGCATATAACGAAAATATGGGAGGTGTTGATCGTTCTGATCAAAATATTAGCCTTTACAGGACAAGTATTTGTGGTAAGAAATGGTATTTCCCACTTATCACTCATTGCCTTGATATAGCTACACATAATGCTTGGCAATTATACAAGGAAAATGGAGGAGTTTGGGATCATCTGAAATTTCGCAGAAATATTGCTGTAAGTCTCATTGAAAACAATAAGAAGATTGACGGTCACAAAGGTGGACGGCCATCACAATTCAATGGCCATTTAGTAAGGTATAGAGAAGACCGTTTGAGATGCGCCTTCTGTCACAAAAGTGCAAACTTTTATTGTGTCAAATGCAAAGCTACACTACACCCAAAAACATGCTTTGAAGCGTGCTTATCATACACCCTAGTTATTTTGTTTTATAGTTATTTTGTTCAATTTTAAGTTTAATTGTTTTATAAAAATAATTATAATAAAGTTATATTATATAAATGAAACAGTGAGATATCATTATTATAAATTTTTGCCTTTGCAAAATAACTCCCTTTTCTAATGATTGGTAGTAGTAGATTCTCCTACTGTGTCATTAACGACACACCATTTCCCGGCTTTCCCGGGATAGTGAGATTTTTTTAAACATCTTTTTGAGATTACTTGGAGCCTAATTGCATATCATATGAAATTTTATTTCAATGCTATGAAAAAAGTTTGCTCAGGAGTAAGTGGGTTAATGATGTTCTTCAACGGAAGCCCGCGCGAGCGAAGCCGCGGGTAAAAAGCTAGTGTTTTGAATATATAGATGGATTAAAAAGAATTAGACAACGCCGAGCTATAAGCAGCGAAACTGAGTCGCTCCGCGTCCTAAAAATCAAAGTTGTGGTAAAAAGTTTGAATTCAGTGCCGAGTTACACCTTAAAAGACGCGAAATAACGTGTACTTTATAAAAGTGTAATTAGTTTTAGCCCGACGAGTGTTTAAACCCAAAATCCTGGATTTTTCGGTGCACGGGTACAGAAGTTATAGGCGAAAAACCAAAAACACGTGTGACCCCCCATTTTAGCGCATCTAGTGAACAAACTAATAAACTGACTGTTGTGAAATTTAAAATTCTTTGAATCATAACTTTATTTTTGGTGATATTTTTGTGAACATTGTTCACTGACTCAATTCTGTGTTAAGTTGGTTTTGAGAGTAGCTATTTTTAGAATGACTGTATAAACATTGAATATTTAGATTATAACACATTGTGTAAACTTGCCAGCATCGCAAAGCGACCCCGTACCCTCCCGGCTTTGGCCGAGGAGGTCAAGGACTTGGATTTGTTTACAAATTAACAATCTGCGTAAACACTGCTATCAGCGAGGGAAAGAGCGTTTCCGCGGCCACTAAGAAGCTCATCAATCTGGCCATGGAGGAGATAAGACGTTCCACCCGCAACCTAAACACCGTTATTGCGTCAACAACCCCATCTGCACTAGGAGAAATAAAGGAGGAGTTGCTTTCATGCGTGAAAAAAGAAATGGCAGACTTCAAAAAGATGGTGACTGCCTCACAAGCGCGACCATCTTATGCCCAAGCAGCTGCTTCCACTTGTGGTGGCAGGACTCCTGCGATTAACAAGACCTCTCCACCCTCCATCCTCCCGGTGACCAAACCAGCTATTATAGTCAGCTCAACCGAACAGTCGAAGACACCGGAAGAAGTAATCAAGAAATTTAAAACCAGCTACAGTTACAGGGAGTCAACTTACGCACCAGCCCGCATCCAACGTGTCTCCAATAATAAGCTACGTATCGAATTTGACAATCAGCAACAACGCGACGACACACTCTCTCGGCTAGAGACATCTGATGAGGTCAAGGCCGAGCCTGTGCGAAGCCTCAGACCCATGGTTATCCTCAAGGGGATATCTAAAGACGTGCCAGTTGAGGACTTAGTGAAAATCAAACGCCACCAAAACACAGAACTTGCGGAGATTGCGAACGACAGCATCGATCTCAACGACACATATTTATCGCTCAGATTCAAGCGTAATAATAGGAATGAGAACTTATATAACGCAGTTTTCCTAGTAGGTCCAAAATTTTACAGAAAGATGATGATATGGGCCGCGTATGCATCGACCACCAGCGAATCCACCTGGAAAATTTTTCACCCTTTCTGCAATGTCATAAATGCCTACAGTTTGGACATATGAAGACAAGATGCACCTCACAAGAGAGCTTCTGCTCCCACTGCGCCAGCAATGAACACCAAATCAGTGACTGCCCCGTGAAAAATAATCCGAACACTGCAAAGTGCCACAACTGCCACTCACATAACACACAATTCAACGCCAAAGCAGATATCAAACACCCAGCCAATTCGGACTCCTGTCCAAGACTTCGTGCCATGAGGGACAGAATCGCCAACAGAGTAGACTACGGATCCGCTTAAAAAAATTAAAGCTTTTGTATAAGTATTATAAAGATTTAATATTATTTTATTTTATTTAATTTTCTTATTTTAATTTTAAAAAAATCTTTCAGTCTATTTCTAAGTTCTGAAAACAATATACGTATTTTCTTTGTTGTTTTAACTTATTTTGTATTTTTCCTATATAAGTTTAGATTATACAGTAAATTAAAAAAAACCCTTACTATTTCATTATTTTATTCTGTATGTTTTTTTTATATATTATTTCTTATTTTTAACTCGTCCGTGCTAATTTAATTCGATGTGATCTACTTTTTATTACTTCTTTGTAAGTACTATGTATAACATATTACTGCCATGTGTCAAACTAATTTGAAAACATTTTTTTATAACACTGTGTAAATATATCGTAAACTAATTACACTAAGAAGAAGTTAAATTACCTCAACCATGTATCCAATTGCAGTGTTGGTGGTGCCTTCTTCTTAGCATTATTAAATAACATTTTATTACTGCAGCTCCGTGGAATGGGTTAAATCATCGTTCTCATGTATCAAATAGCAAGAAGCACGATGCCCCTTTCCAATAGAGCATTAAATAATCTTAGGTTTGATTGCCACCTAGGATATTTGATTGGCAAATTGTAAAATTATCGTGTAAATATTTTCACTAAATTAAGTACGCTAAGAAGAGGTTAAATTATCTCAGCACAGTATCCAATAGCAGTGCTGCGGTGCCCGCTTCCGAATGTATTTCATCAATATTTATGTTTCGTAGGACTAAAGATTGTGTTAAATCATCGCGCTCATGTATCCATTAGCAAGAAGCGCGGTGCCCCTTTCTACAGTGTATTAAATAAACTTAAGATAAAGTTTTAACTTAAGTTTTGATGTAAAATGTAAGGAAACCACTTCGCAGTATCAAATAGCAGCTATGTGCTACTCCTTCCTTTGCGTTATAAAATTAATAATGTTGTGATTAAATTTGCACTCTTAAGCTTTTAAATTGTAATATGTGATATCAAATAAAATTATTAAAAAAAATATATAGATGGACTTGGCAATCGCACTAAGCAATCTAATTTAATATAATATGTATTACTTGTGAGATACAGTGTTTTCATGCGATGGCATGTAAACACAATGTATCTCACAAGTAGTAAACTCAGAATATGAGTGGCAGCAAGCGGCACAAGCAGCACACAACATTAACGACGTTGGAGCGAATATTACAAACGAACGCACCACCTGTTATTGGTTTTGCTCTCTAGAAATTTCAAACTGAAGATTGAACCCCGTGGTCGTCCGAAAACCTTGGTCGACAATGATGAATTAAAGGCGAAGCTGAAGGTACTCAATCTACGGCTAAATTACCAGCAGCTTTCGACGTTAGTATTAAAATAGTAATGGTCCATTTGTGTCAAATTGGCAAGATAAAAAAGAAAGCTTGACAAATGGGTGCCCCATGAACTCAATGACCACCAGGCGATGTACGCATCAAGAAGTGCTTCGCGCTGCTCAACAGGCACACAAAAGAAGAATTTTGAACCGCATTGTACCTGCAACGAAAAATGGATTCTGTTTGGCAATTGCAAGCGGTCAGCAAGTTGTTTGAATCCTGCAAATTAGTATACAGGCAACTGAACAGAAAGATCTCCAAATGCATGCGGCGGGCCTTACGCAACTTCAAAAAAACCCGTATTGAAGCAGAGATCGAACCAGGGCTTCAAAGTCTTTGCCAGAGATCTGTTTGCCAGAAAGAGGCAACTGTCAAAGCTGAATACCGAATGTGGCAGCATCATTTCCGGGACACCTGATATTTTAAGTGAGATTAAGAGATTCATCATTGGAGCCACATGCAAGTGTTAGTTCGACACTATTCCGATGATATCCCGGACGTCAGTCTGAGCGAGATTAGAATGGCTCTCTAGCACCTTAAAAACGGCAAGTCCCGGGGCGAGGATGGAATTACAGCAGAGCTTCTGAAAGCGGATGGAAAACCGATACTTAAAGTCCTTTGGCAGGTTTTTTATTCCGTTCTCCATGGTGGCACTACTCCGTAGGCGTGGAGCTGGACTTCATGCCTGGACTCGGCTGGGTAGCATTCCGGAGATTACGATAGACCTTTTCGTCAGACACACCTCAAAACTTCAATACCCGATTGTATAACCATTGCGTGTTGCCAGTGATGACCTATGGATCTGAGACATGGTTTCATTTCATTTCATTCACTGCTGGCCCTATTACAAAGCTCAAAGTTACGCAGCGAGCTATAGAGTACGTGCGTGCGTGTGCGTGCGTGCGTGCGTGCGTGCTTGCGTGCGTGCGTGCTGTGCGTGCGTTACAAAGCTTCTATTTTATTTATGTGTATATGTATGCTACAGTTATATTAGTAATATAGTTGTAGCCGACCGGAGAAGGACCACGCTCTCACAGAATACCAGTGTAAAATTGTAGCTTAATGCTGCTGTGTTTCGTATGGTGAGTATAGAGAACCGGAGACCCTTTTTACTGAAAACGAGGCGTTCCATCATAGTCCTTACGGGTGATAACGCATATCTGCAATTTGATTCGTAACTGAGGATAGATGTAGATGTCCTTGGGCCACAGCAACCACTTACCATCATAGTCATAGTCATAGTCATAGTCTTTATTGCAATCAAATGGTTACAATAGATGTTATATTTAAAAAAAAATCCGCATTTGAACCCAGTTTGGGCTTAGCAATTTTAAAAATATTAATTATTATTTTTAAACTACAATATTAGATTTCATTAATACATTACATTATTAGATTATATTATGTTAAAATTCTGTTAATTTAATTAAATTCATTTTCAAAATGTCAAGTAAAAAATAATAATTATTATTATAAATAAAAATAAAATTAAGTAAAAATAACAATTGAATAACAAAATTAAATTAAATTAGATAGGCACAGGCCGAATGTGTCAGGTGGAAGGTGTGCTCGTTTGTCACTGTATCCTATAAAAATATGAAAATTGTTCACTGTGAAGATAAAATACAAAATTTTCCTTTAAAATTTAGCATCCTGTTGATTCATTTAGTTAGTAAATTCAAAGCTCTTAAGATCATACGTTTTCTCGGAATTTTAACTGATATAAGAATGTGATTATAAATATTTCGAGATCACAGAGAGCACATTACGTATGCTATCTCTGTGATCTTGGAATAACTTTATAAATTTTCGGTACTTTTAGAGGTTTTACTGCTATGCAAAGAACCGTTGGGATGAATTTTTGTACGTTGATATTTAAATACATACATTTTTCAGATAAAAATATGAATTACACACACACACACACACACACACACACACACACACACACACACACACACACACGACACGCACACGCACACGCACACGCACACACGCACACGCACACGCACACGCGCGCGCGCGCGCTCGCACGCACGCACGCACGCACGCACGCACGCACGCACGCACGCACGCACGCACGCACGCACGCACGCACACACACACACACACACACACACATATATATATATATATATATTTACTTAGTTCATACGAATATTAATGAATATATACGTCTCTTAGTAATGTATATGATGTACATGGGTGGTTCATTTAACAATCATTGCCTTTAATACATCGCTCACGATACAACTTTTTAAAAGCACCAGATAAGTATCCAAAAAATAATTATTATATATATACTTCCACGGCAAAAGATTTGAGTACAGCAAAAGAAAGAATTGATGGATCCCAGTGTTCTATTTCTTCTATGCGTAAAGTACTCATAGAACTTGGGTACAAGTACACACAAGCTCCAGATGGTCGTAAACAATTGATGGAAAGGACTGACATCGTTTGCCCTCAGCTACAATTCCTAAGAAAACTCAATACCCTGAGAGATAGTGAAGACACTCGACCAAGAATTTATTTAAATTAGACTTGGATTAACCAAAATCACAGACCCAAACTAATTTGGCTTGACAAGAATGGACAAGGCGGCTTAAACACAAAAACGGGAAAGGGGGGCAGACTAATTGGTAAATATTCTTTCATATTTTATGTAAAAAATACGACTTAATAATAATTTAATACAAAATATGATATTCATTTCATTATATTGTTTCAGTTAGAACCAGATGGGTATTCTGTGCTGTGAAGTCTCAGAAAGAGGACGACCATTCAGAAATGAATGTCGAAGCCTTCACATACTGGTTTACAAAGCTGCTGCAGTCTTTAAAAACCATCAGTCATCATAATGGATAACGCAGCCTACTACTCCCAGCAAATAAATCGACATCAGCTAACAAAAACAGTGAAATTCAGGAGTGGCTCCGCCAACACAGGATTGAATTTAGTGATAGTGAGCCGAAACTATTACAAAGGGTATTTTAGATTTAATTATTTAAAGTTACAACACATTTGTTTTCTTAAGTATTTAGTTGAATATACAAACGTTATATTTACAGGTGCAACCGAACCGAGCAGAAAAAATGAACGAATTGGATCAGTTAACTTTGGAGTCAGGACACGAAGTGTTTCGATTACCATCTTACCATTACCAATATAACCCAATTGAGTTGGTATGGGCTCAAGCAAAAAATGAAGTTGCCACCAAAGACAGCACTTTTAAAATTGCAAACGTCGAAGTTTTACTGCATGAAGCAATTTCAAACGTTTCGCGAAAGAACTGGGAAAATTGTGTGAAGCATACAGAAAACTCCAAGAGGAAGACTTGAATAAATCTCATCTGGCAGAAAATATCGTAATTCACGTGGATGACGA